CCCCCCCCCGCCCAGTTCACTCTTCTCTTTGAAAAGTTAGAGAAACATTCTTTCATTGTTTTACAATCCCTCCCCGCAAGTCCACTCCACTGTGCAGCGTTCATTCTGGACTCCTGTCATGACAATAATACCTAATCACATATTCCTTTTAAACACTTTTCTCCCTCATCTGTTTCAATCAGGCCTGCTATTTTAGAGTGCTCATGCTTTACTCTGCATGAATACTCCTCTCCTTGCTGACACAGTTAGAGTTAACAAGTTTGCCTGTTGGTGGGGGTTGCTGCATAAATCCCCTCCCAAGCACCACACATAATGAGTGGGATGTGGAGTTTTTATGCAAATCGTTCTGAGACGGGCTAACATTTTCTGTGCCAAGCAATAATAGAAAGGTAGAGAAGGAATAGGGAAGATTCGTTTTCATTCACATCAGAGGATGAGTTCTGGCATCTCATATTTTATAACCAAAATGTCATGAATAATAATTAACAAACCAGCACCACCACTGTAATTGCTCTCTGTTTCTCTGGAAATACACGTTTCTAAGAACAATGTGTGCTGTGTGATAAGCACAGACACGGCTTTGCCAAGTCAGACGTGCAACTGGTCATGGGCCAGAATCGCACCCCAATAAGGGAGATCCAGCTTGTTTCTTAGGCTCTGCCTGTAGCTCAGGCTGTGTGCACCTGGAGTGGCAGGCAGTACATCCGTGTTTGTCTGGTCAACTATAACTTGAGCTGTCTTTTCATGTATCAGAGTAATACTGTGCTCCATAGAGTTTTCAAGGCTAGGTGGCCCAGTGCTAAGAAGCTGCACTGCAATCTCAAAGTCACATGGTTCAAATCCACCAGCTGCTCTATGGAGGATGGACAATCACTTCTGTATGATTTACTGTCTGTGGAAACCCACTGGAGGGTCAGCTTGGGTTGGTTCTGACTCTACGGTATGCAATTACAACAATAATAAAACCTTTTGGAACTAAGTCTCCAAGCCCTTCTTCTCTGGTTCTTCTGGGAGGACTCAAACTTCCAAGCTTTCAGCTAGAAGATGAGTATATTAATTAGTTCACACAATTCAGGACTTGCATTGGGTGATATTCTTTGACTCTCCTATTCTCCAACTTACTTACCTAATAAACCCTGAAAAAACAAAACACCCCCAAAAATAATTCACACAGTTCAGAGACTCTAGCGATAGACTTTATTTAAGAATAAACCCATAAAAATCAAACCTACTGCTGTCAAGTCAATTCTGACTCATGGCAACCCTCTGTCAGGTTCCTAACACTGTAAGTCTTTACAGGAAGAAACTGGTGGATTTGAAACACTGACCTTTCAGTTAACACTGCAACACATAACACACTATGCTACCAGAGCTTCTTCTATTTAGAAATTATTGTTGTAGTTGAGTGCCATGGAGTCAGAACTGATGTATAGCTGACCCTCTAGCGGGTTTTGAGAGGCAGTAAATCACATGGCACGGGATTGCCCATCTTTCTGCCTTCTTATTAAGGAATAGAACTCCTAAATGCTTTGTTCACATCTATAATATAGTTGAAAGCTGTTTGAGCACAGTCACTGTAACAACAGGCTTTAGCATGTCAGCAACTGTGAGGACGACATAGGATAGAGCAAAGTTCTGATCTACTGTTCACAAATCTGCTATGAGGAGTAGTCAACTCAAAGGCATATAACAACAATCCTGTAACTAAGTCTCTCTAGCAGTTTTTGTAATTTCTAGAGTGCAGGATTTGAAATTTCCCATGTGGCCCTTTACAGCATACTAACCTCTAAGAGGTTTGGACAGAAAGTTCTGTGTGGTTCCAGGTTGCTGAAGATCTTCTTTTAGTGGGTAAGGAAGAAGGCTGTGGGGAGGGCCCGACACAAAAAGCTGACAAAGACCCTCCTTCATCCCCACAGTGGAGACTCCTCCCGTCCACCCAAGATACTCGGCAGCAAGTGGTCCTGGCAGGGGGAATCCTGTCACAACAAGCACCAGCTCAGAGTGCTTTGCCCCTGAAGGCCAGAGACTTCCTTTTCCCACCTAGTACCTGGAGATCTGGCCTGGGGAAGCTCCTCCCCACCAGGTGATACCAGCAAGGGCCAGTGGGAATCTCAGTGACCTCAGATAAACCAAGTCGACTGAAGGAGCACCATATGGGCTCTGAAAAGAGATTGTCAGTAACCACAGTCCACTGAAGCAGGCCAGGCCCTACACACTTGTCCTAAACTAGGTGACTGCCTACTAAAATGAAGGCGCATACAGGATCTAGATAGAGCCTCCTAATGCCATAGGTGAGATGCCCAGAATATAATACAAAGGGGGAAAATCACCTGTCATACCCACAAAACTGAATGAGAATAGATCATCAACTGACACTGATGCTGAGATGAATCAGACATTGAAATTATCTCGCAAGGATTGTAAAGCTATTGCCATTAAAAAAAAAATCTTTAACAAGCCATAGAAAATGATCTTAAAACAGGTGAAAAAATATAACAAGAAGGAAACTCGGCCATACCGTTGAACGTGAGTGGCCCAGCCAGCTTCATGAGGGCGATGTCATTGCCCAGCCTCTTCGGTTTGTACTTGCTGTGGTAGATGATTTTCTCCACCAAATGGGAGGGGGCCGGACTGTCCAGCAAGGAAACTAAACCCACTTGGATGGTCCATGACTTGGGCAGGTACAGACTGAAATGAAAAGATGAACACGGGAGGAACAGGAAAAACCCAACCACAGCCCATTAACCCCGGCTGAGAATCAGCCCCAGGCGCTGGCGGGAGATTGGTCAGGCAAAAGGCAATGCCACTGTCCTCAATTGCTTATGCTAAATGTCATGAGACAAATTGTATCTTCCAAAAAATGGTAAATTGAAACCCTAATTTCTCTACTTGTGTCCCGTCTGAAAGTAGTGGTCTTGAAGCTGCTCTTTTGTTAATTTAATGTGAGGTCATACTGAAGATGAATGGATCTTAATTCTCTAAGACTAGAAAATAAAATTAAGCCAGTGCTGAGTTGATTCTGGCTCACAGCAACCCCAGAGTACATCCCCGTATGTCGGGTTTCCAAAGCTGTGACTTTTTGACAGTAGCTCACCAGGCTTCTCTTCTGAGGTGGGTCTGGGAGTTTCAAACTGCCAATCTTTTGGTCAGTAGTCAAGGAGTTAACTGAGCAACTCAGAGACCCCTTCCTATTTGTCTATATCTTCTTCCTCTTTGTACCTTTTCTGTAGAAGCTGCAGTGCTGAAAATCTTCCATGAGCTCAGGGCCACTGGCCACCCTCCTGTGATGGCGACGGGTCAGCATCCGCAGCGAGGAGGGAGTCTCCCTGGCTAAGACCTGTCATGACTGGTTGGCCTATCAGCCCACCCCACCCTGACACTAGAACCAGACAGTTGCCCAGAGAAAAGTGAAGATGCAGCCCCGCGAGCTCAGAGCACTCACTCGTAAACACAGTGGGCAGCGGTGACGATCCACGTTGGAGTGATGATGGAGCCCCCACATAGGTGGTACCCCTGGAACTGAAGGCTGACCTGCCAGGGCCATTGCGCAAGTGAGGACATATTCCCACCAACGATGCGTGAGGCATAGCCTGACCTCAAACCACAGGCTGTAGGGAGAATACAGGCTATGGACACCAGCAGGACTCGTGTCAAGGATCCTGTCCTCCCTCTCCTACAGCTGCTGCCCCACAGAGCCCACAGCCCAGGGTGAGAGTGGGGCTGAGAGGGACACAGTAGGGCTGGCCCGGGGAGAGTGTCCATCATAGGGAGTCTTGGAGGAGGACCGAGTGTATGTGAGGTGTTATTGGGGTGCAGTAAAGTCCACTAGGATAAAGAGCCCTCCATGGTCATCATAAAGGGGGTTGGCAGTGCCCCCTTCCCTATTCCATGGTATCCAGGATGATGACAACACCACAGAGACATCAATCAACCAACAGGAACCTGTGGGACCTCAGCCCCTCTCGCCACTGACACAGGTTCAGGCGTGCATTTCCCCATCTGCTCCAGGTAGACCTCCTGTTGCACAAACCCTCTCCTGCCAGGACCCAAGGGTGTCTGCTCAGAATCTGGGGTGCGGAGACACCTGTGCATGCTCCCCAGAGAGGGAAGAGAAAGTGACAGTGAACCAGGCCAGCGAATGCCCCATGGAATGTCCAGACCTGCTCCTGCCCATGCTGCTGCCTCCCTCCTGCCTAACAGGTGAGCCAGCTGCCCCTGCTCCTGCCCCGACCAGGTGGGAGGACAGTGCTCCCACCTTAACCTGGAGCAGAGGCATCTGAGCAGGTGGTGGAGGGTGGGAGCAGACAAGCAGAGAGGGGAGTCTGCGGGCTCCCACCTGGTTCTTCGCATTCCTAGAACTCTTACCTGTGCACTTGAGCGTGACCACGTGACCTGAAGCACATCTCTCCCTAAAATAAGGAAAGTAGCCTTAATGAGAAACATCTGAAGTTTGAGACATCAATTTATGTTTTAACTTAATTGTGGGCTTTAAAAAAAAGGAATTATTCTCTGCTCTGTAACAGAGTTAACACTTTTTCATTTACTTAACAAAAGCATACCCGAAGAATGAGCTCATAAAACTCATCACAAAGGATGAAATTACCAAGGAAGTAGTGTGTATGTGAGGTTCAGAGAAGTTTTCCTCGGTTTTGTAAAGTTAATGCTATTATGCACCATGAGCTTCACTGCATAAACATAAACTGAGGTCATCTGCACATTTATTTTACCCCATGTCCTTGTTCTTTATGTCCTGGGCCTGGGAGAGATGACTTGGGTCCCTCTTGCAAGAAATCCCCAAAGCCTTATTTCACACACCTCAGAAAGGCTTCTTCTGGAAGCATGGTGATGTGATTGCCGCAGAAATAGCACACACACATGCAGAGACTCAGGCATACAGAGTTAGAAGGAAGGGCATGTGCTTTTCTGATAAGGAAGGAACCAGTTGAGCTGGTTGGAGTGGAGTGGATGTGGACTTAAGGCAACCCCACATGTGTCAGAGTAGAAATGTGCTACACAGTATTTTCAATGGCTGACTTCAGAAGTAAATCACCAGACCTTTCTTCTGAGGCACCTTTGGGTGTACTTGAGCCTTTAATTGTTAAATTAGCAGTTAAGTGTATTAATCATTTGTACCACCAAGGAATGTTGAGGAACAGAAAGTCTCAACTCATTGCCATCAAGTCACAACCAAATCAAAGCATAGCTAACAGCCCAGCAGGTTTTTAGAGGCTGTAGGTCACACAGGAGGAGACTGCCCATCTTTCTCCATGGAGGCACTGACGGATTTGAACCGCCAAAGAGGTGCCATCCTTGGGTCAGCAGCACAACTCCCTATGCCATCAAAGATCCCAGGGGGAAGGGATCCCCACAAAATTTTCCTAACCTTTTCTGCATTGAAGAGAAAATTCATTTCACCAGACTGGGATTTTAGAAGATTAAGGCTCCCATGTGATTTGATGGGCAGGTGCTTATTAATTACATGATGGACGTGTAACTCATACTCGATGCACGTGATGGTTGCTTAGCTGATGGGCGTGACTGACAGACTGACAAGCATATAATTTCTATGGTTGAGAATACCCACATCTCTTTTTGGGCCCAAGATGTTATGAACAGAGTATGGACTTGGATTCAGGCTACCTCCCTACCCGATCTGGGGGAGTCACGGGACCACTCTAAGCTTCAAGTTCTCAATTGACTTCATTAGACATCCATGGTACGTAGCATGACCTCCTTCATGGCTCTTAGAGGACACATGCACAGTGAATAATGGGTGTAAGAGAAGCTAAGCCAAGGAAGAGTACTTCCTCCCTCCTTCCCTCTTTCCCTCCCTTCCTAACTTCTACCCCATGGCCATCCTTCCTTCTGCCCTTCCTCCTCCACACCTGTGTAGCTGAACACGCTATTGCAAATGCAGCAGGTGATGGGCTAACCCACTTACCTCACATACACAGAGTGGTGTAAAGCCGTCACTTTGTCATCAGACAAGAGGTGATTGATGGCAGCAAAGTCTTCTCGAAACGGCTCCTCCAGCAAGTCCACTCGGAGGTGGTCTGAGCTCACATAGCTGCAAGCACATGGGGAACACAGAGCCTGTACGTGACAGCTACTTCATCCCTCACCCAGCCCTCCTTTCTCAATCTTACAGTGCCAGAGGACAGTTTCGTCCCCCAAATCATCCACAGCATCCTTTTACTAATAAAGTCCAGGTACTTTATCCAGGACATTCCAGATCTGTGCAACTCCTATTCCACAGCATCCCTACCACCAAGGGCTCTAGGAATTGAGAGAGCCAATTACTGACATCTTAGAAGGATAGTGGAGACCCTGTCTATGGTGTGGGCATTCCATCGGGTCTCCACTAGCTTCCAAAATAGAAAAGAGGATCAATCTCTGATGTCATGGGCTCAAACTCTTCTTGCTGTGTTCAGCAAGGCAACAAGGAAACTGAACCCAGAACAATGTAAGGCACTCTGTCATCAGACACCAACGAGGGTACCTGCCCAGTACCCTGACAACAAGGAGTCGGGAGAGGAAGAGACACTTGCCCGGTCTGCACATAGCTGGCCTGGGTTCCCATCGGAGAGAGATAAACACAGCAAAGGAAGAGAGTCAGGACACTAGGAGCAAACAAATATTTGAAGTGCCTGAAAGCAGGCCTTCGGGAGAACAATGGTTAAGGGAGTTCCACTTAAAAGAAATCAAGTGTCTGACATCAGGTTGGGGGTATGACAGAAAAAACTGGATAAATTATGTATATTGTATTGAAACAGATGAGGGAAAGAACAGATTAGAGGTGATATATGATTGAGTATTATGGTTAGCACAGGAATCCAGAATTAAGGTTGCATAGAGAAGTGTACTCGGGGTGGGGGGTAGGGGGAAGGGACGTGGGAATTGTATACTAATGAAGGAATTTTTTTTTCTTTTTTTTTTTCCTCTCTCTTCGGAGGGGGAAGCGAGCTGATGGGGAGGGGTGGGCAGGGAGAAAATTGCAGCAATGAATGAATGGAAATCCATAACCTCTGTAGAAAAAAAATTTAAAAAAAGGTATAAAAAAAAAAAGGAAATCAAGTGTTTGAGGTGGAAGGCAGTGAATAAATAGCCATATTTTCCTGTGTCCATGGTGAGAACAAAGTATAATGTCGTTGGCTCGTTTTCCTCATGAAGTACCAGCTTATCAACCAGGACTTCCCCAGATGATCGCAAATGCTCTGGGCAAGATGTACACGTGGAATACAAGGGAAAGCCAACTTTGTTTTGAGGAAAATGTAATCAAGAGAGACCTCTGGCTACTCCTACCTGGGAATTGCTCAACAGACTGATATGGCAGGTGAAAGAGTCATTTGTTGCTGGCGTGGTGAGATCCTGACGTAAGTGGGCAGGGCGACGGGTAAAGGAAGTGGTGGAAGGCAATCGTTAGCATTAGCTCCTGTTGAAGTCCGCACACAGTTCATGGTGACCCCATGTTCAACAGAACAAAATGCTGCTTAGTCCTCCGCCAGCCCCATGGTTGGCTGCCGATTGAACCACTGTGGGCCGTATGTCCACTGATGGATTTCTGGAAGTCAATTGCCATGCCTTTCTTCCTAGTTTATTATAGTCTAGAAGCTCCACCGACCCTTCTCAGGGCCATAAAGAACAAGCAAGCCTCCGTTGACAGATGGCAGCTGCACACGAGGGGCACGGACCAAGCATGAATCCTAGGTCTCTTGCATAAACTCAAAATCCAAACTCACCACTTTTGATTCTGTTTCAGCTAATAGCGACCCCCACCAGGTTTTGGAGGCTGTAATCTACAACGAGAGGAGACTGTTCATCTCTCTCCCTTGGAGCCACTGGTGGGTTCACACCACAAGAGAGGCACAGCATTTGCATTAGCAATACAACCTCTGAGGGCCTACACTCCCAGGGCTCCAGATCTCTTGCATAGGAGAGAAGCTCACTTAAGCCTTTTAAAGTACATGGTTATTGTTATGCATCTAAGTGAAGAAATAAAGCCCTGAGTCTTGTAACCTGCATGGTTTACACTGAGATTTGAACCCAGGCAATGTGGGTTGTTGTTGATAGAGTTCTGTGGGCCTGGTGGATAGAAAGTGATGTTACCAAGTCAAAGGTGGGGATTTTAATCTGTGGCACTCAGGCCTGGTTTTAATTGTTTATGGTCAAACATTCTTCTAATTGGTATAGGATTGATCTGTCCATTGGCTGTACAGAGGCAACTCATGGTTGCTGTGATGTTAAACACTGTGACACTGATGCATCAAATGCGATAATTGCTACCTATAGTGGACAGTGTTTGGTGGAGCTTCCTGATTAAAACAAGCTTGGAAGCAGGAGTGCCATCCACGTCTGAAATAGCTTGCCTCTGGAAATTCTATTAAAGTGGAGAAATGATGAAAGTTATACAAGCGTTCAGGTCTTTCATTCATAAAGTTGCTATGAGTTGTCTACTACTCGACAGCACTTAACAACAACAACAACAATGTGGCTTGGAAGCCCTTTTTTCTTTTCTTTCATGTAGAACAGAAAAACTTAAAGACTTATAAAGAGAGAATTAGCAAGAATAAACAAAATATGTATACAGAAATAAATCTTGGCAAGTAAAGGGTAAGATATAGTTGTTGTTGTTGTTGTTGTTGTTAATTGCCATCAAGTTGAACATGACTCATAGCGACCCTATGAGCAACTATCGTCATTTCTCCAGGTTCATAGAGTTTTCAGAGGCAGGTGGTTTAGGAAGTGGATTTCAACCTTGCTTCCAAACCTGTCTTAAACTGGGATCTCTGCCAAACACTGTCCACCATGGGCAGCCATTATGGCATTTGACCTCCTTCCCTCAATGGCACAAGGTTCAGCATCACAGAAAACCCAGATTACCTCAGTGCAGCAAATTGGCAGAGGAGTGCTGTACAATGTGATAAAGGAAGTGGATGCCACTCCTGTTTCCAAACTTGAATCAAATCTGGGAGCTCTACCAAACACTGCCCACAAGGGGTAGCCATTATGGTGTTTGGCAGACCTATGGCACAGTTGTTCCATTATGGCGTTTGAGACCCCAATGGCATAAGGTTCAGTGTCACAGCAAATCCAGATTACCTCAGCACAGCAAATTGACCAGAATACTGTATGACTTAGAAGAATATTCCTCTAAAATATAGGAACAAGGGATTAAAATATAATCCCTCGAGTACAACTTTTAAATATAAGGGCCCTCCAGGAGGTCTTGTTGACTCTAAACATGAGGCTTGAATAAAAAAATAACCACACAATCCACACAGATCCTCAACCAAAACAAGGGCGCCATTGTACAGACTGCAGCTGCTTCATCCAACTCCAAAATGGAGATAAGGACCTAGCATTATATGTTGTTGTTGCTCTTAAGTGCCATCTAGTATCAAATCTATAAACAAAAGACCTTAACCTTGCTATATAACTATTGTTCTTTCTTTAAGCTCATAGCATTTCCACAGGCATGTTTAGGAATAGGAAAGTATAAAGTAAGTTTGTAATCATTCCATGATGCAGGGCTGACCTAATGGAAGCCAACAACACAGAATGGAAAAGGAGCAATATTTTGTTAACAAGTGAGAGAAATTGCATTGCCCTGGTTTTCCCCTTAAGCACTATCCATTGCTGTTGAGTCCCCTGACCCATGGTAAGCCCATATGTTACAGAGTAAAACTGCCTATCAGGGCATTTTTGTGGCTGTAGAGAAGCTGTTTGCCAGGCCTTTCTTCTGCAGCTCTTGTGAGTATATGTGAGCCTTCACTCTTTCAGTTAGTAACTGAGCACATTAAACATTTGTTCAACCCAAGGACTTTATTTTAAGGGTGTTGCTATTTCTGATGGGTACTACCATGTCCATTTTCAACCTGTAGCAACCCCATGTGACAGAGTAGAACTGCCTGGTAGAGTTTTCTAAGCTGTAACCTTCATTGGAACAGACCACTAAGTCTTTCTCCTACAGAGTCTCTGAGTGGGCTCAAGCTGTCCACATTTAGGTTATCACATGAATGTTTAGCCACCAGGGCTGTTTAATTTGTAAAGACATTGTTGCTAGGGCCTTTGAATCAGTTCTAACTCATCCCAACACTATACAACAGAACAAAAGACTGCCAGGCCTAGTGGCAACCTCACAATCTTGCTATGTTTGAGCCCATTGTTTTAGACAGTATCAGTTATCTCATTGAAATTGTCCTCTTCTTTCTCTGATCATCTACTATACTAAGCATGATGTTCATCTCCAGAGACTAGTCCCTTCTGAAAACATGTCCAAATTGCATGTGATAAAGTCTTTGCTATCCTTGATTCTCAAGAGTATGCTGGCTGTACTTTTTCCAAGACAGTTCTGCTTGTTTATTTGGTAGTCCATGACATAGTCCATATTCTTTGCCAACTCATGATTTAAAGTCATCAGTTCTGTTTGAGTCTTTCTTATTCACTATCCCATGCATATGACATGATTGAAAAGATCATGGCTCAGGTAAGGTGCACTTTAATCTTCAAAGTGACATCTTCACTCTTTAACGTTTTTCAGAGGTCATTTGCAGATGCCCAATGATATATGCCACTTGATTTCTTGGAAGCTGCTTCCTTGGACCTTTTACAGGTAGGAAAAAATAGCTTCCAGCTGCCCCCTGTTTTCCAGGAAGAGAGCGAGTCCTTGACCTGCATTTGCTGGCAGAGACAATGTGGGGTTAGGTTGAATTATTCTATATAACACAGCCGAGAAGCGTAAGGACTAGAGGAGGGGTTTGTACCCCAAGAGGGAGTAGAGATAAGGAAAAGTAAAAAAGCTATTACAATATTGGCAGTGAGTCAGAGGGAAAATATCTGTAGGGAACAGAAATATCTAATCAGGAAGCTTCATGCTGTTGACAGTGGTGGAGTGTATAGTATGAGCTGTCTCCTCCTGGTATAGAAAAGATAAGTTCTATTTTATATCAAAGCATTTGTGTGAAGGATCTTACTATTGTCACTGAACTTGAATTGCAGTGATTTCTGAATCCATGTTGGCAAGAGGAAAGAATAAGATTAACACAGGGATAAAGTGTTTGTCATGGAAAGAGGGAGCTGAAAATAGGAGGCACTGGTTTTGGAAAGTGAGACTCAAGGGAGTATTGAGGATTTAAGTGTAGCTTGAGTGACCCCTTCTCTTGGGGTGTAAACAGAAAAGTGCTCTCACTTCCATCCTTTTCACCCTGGCTCAGTTCCCAAAACGGTGAGAGAACTCCAAAAGCCTCTTTGCTTTGAGCACTGAGTATTAAGAAAAGGAATGAGAGTGATGTGGACAAACATGGAAGGATGGTAGCTGTAGCAAGTCAAAAGCAGGGGCCTAAGGAGAGCAAGGAGGCATACATCAAGGCAAAAATGCATCATCCAGGGCAAAAATGTACATGTGAAAAGCAAAAAGCCATCTTCTTCCCGTGAACCATTGAGTCAGAACTGATCCTCCAGAGGGTTTCCAAAGGCAGTAAATTGCACGAGAGGAGATTGTCCATTGTCCTTCCGTGGAGCAGCTGGTAGACTCGAACCATGTACTTTTTAATGAAGCAGCACCACATTCCTTAACACTTTGCCACTAGAGCTCTGTTTACATGAGTTATTTCTTCTATATGCTGCTAAGCAACTGTTTTTGAAGGAGAGTTTTTAGAAGAGTGCTTTTGAAGGAGTGTTTTAGTTAATGGTTATTTTTCAGAAATTGACTGTGGCTTACTGGGAAAGGTACAGAGATATTGATGTGACTACCAGGACTGTGTAGAATGCATCCAGCTATAGAGAGAAAAACTAAAGGTTTCTCATCTTCCATGCTCTTTTTTATTTTCCCGTTCTTCAACTACAGCTAGCTTGGCTACACAATCAACACTCTTAAATGATGAATTACCCTGGGAAAATCAGCTGTCAGGGACCTCTCCTGAGAACTGAGAAGCAATGACGTCAGTCTGGAGACTAAGGTGTACTTGATCCAGGCCATGGTCTTCGCAATTACTTGCTATGCATCAGAAAGCTGGACTATGACTAAGGATGACAGAAGAATTGATGCCTTTGAATTGTGGTGCTGGAGAAGAGTATTGTACATACTGTGGACTATCAAGAAAACAAACAAGTCTGTCTTGGAGAGGGTGAAACCAAGTTTCTCCTTGAAGGCAAGGATTTTTAAGCCCCGTCTCACATACTTTGGGAACGTGGCCAGGAGGGACCAATCCTTGGAGAAGGATAACATACTTGGAAGGGTAGAGGGACAGCACAGGAGAGGAAGACCTCGGATGACATGGATTGATGATGTAACTGGGGCAATGCATGTGTGTTGGAGTCAGTGAGACTGGTTCAGGACAGGGCAGGCTTCAAAGCTGTTGTACCTAGGGTCGCTAAGGTCATAGGTAATTCATTAGCATATAATAACAACAATATAAGTCTTTTATTTATTCATATTAAAACGGCAATAGTAAAGAAAGTTACTTCAATGGAAAAGGCACTCAGGAAGGTGGTCACTAAAGTAATGAAACATTTTTTGTTATCATATTCTTTCATTTTTCTTAAGATACAGGTTTCTTACCATATGAAGTATAATTTACATGATTTTATTTCAGTGCTCATGGCCTGCATGATTGAATCTTGTGTATTTTTGGCTATTGATAGTTGTATGCAGGGAGTAAGCTCTGACAGTTTCTGTGCTTCACATACGATTGCTCTTTATTGTGTTGTTCGGAGGCTGGGGAAACATTGTGAATATCTGCAACGAAAAATTTCAGCCCTGTGATAAGTTCAGGAGTTTGCAGTTGTTTTGGAAGATTTTGCATCTGAAGGCTGGAATTGTCTTGCTTCAAATTTTTCGTTGAATTTTATGTAGTCTCTTATCAAAATATTTTATCAGGTATTGGGGGCAATTTGATTCAAACGAGCTTCTGAGCTTCTTGCACTGAGAGGCATCATTGATGTGTTCATCGGAACACTGGCAGTACTCATCTCAGGCTCCCCAGCAAGCCTGCCCTGCCTTCACTGAAGGGGCTGCTGTTCATTCCTCCTGGGGTCAAGCTGTCTGCAGAAGACACAACTGAGCACCTGCCCACTATTTTCTGGCCTGCACCAGCTGCTGTTGCTTTTCTAGGGGGGGGCAGGATTTCCAGCCAACTAATGACCCTACGAACAACAGATGTGAACCTTGTTCTATCCTGTGCCATTCTGGCACTTTCTGACACACTAGACTCCATTGCAGCAATCACTGTGTCAGTCCATCTGGTTGAGTGTCTTCCTCTCTTTTCTTGACCACTTTTCTAAGCATGATGTCCCTCTCCGAGGAATAATGTTTCCTAGCAACATAGCCAAAAAGTATGTGAGAGAAAGCTTTATCATCTTTGCCTCCAAGGAGCACTTTTGCTAAGATGTATTTGTTTCTATTCCCAAGAGTGGTGATCGAACAGAATGTGGAAATTATCAAAGAGCAAGCAAATACTGCTTCAGATCATTAAAAACAGAACAGTACATATATAGGGAACTGCCAGAAGTTCAAGTGGGATTTAGACGTGACTGTGGCACCAGGGATAGCTGATATCAGATGGATCCTGACTTCCTGATTTGCACCAGGTAAATATCAAAACTGTCCTGAATTCTGATTTCAGAGAAAAAGATCACAGACAATTAAAAAATGCCTTATATTATCGGGTCTATTTTGAAGACATTGCAATCCTCTGGAAAAATCAGTTCAGTCTTTCTTTTTACCTGAGATCTCTGTTGGTCTTTTAGTAGGTAATTAATTTATGTCTGCACCCTTATAGTCTCCTTGGTTTTTATTTTGATCACTGGGTTGCTCTAGAGTTTCTTGAGGTCCTATGTGACTAACAAAAGAGGCTACCAGAGGGGATATGTATTCATCTCCCACCACACACACACTCACACATCCTTGTCTCCCATGCTCTTTAGTGTGTATTTTCATTTAAAGTTTCTTTCCCTGAGATAACCCCAAACATGCCACTTCCTGTATGACCTTTAGCAAGTTATTTAGCTTTACTGGCCTTACTGTTTCTTCAACCTTGAAATGAGGATAATAAGCAAATGTCATAGGTTGTCACAAGGATTTAACATGATAATGTATTAAAGCCCCTACTTACTGCTCAACTAACTAGTTAACTGTCTTTCATCATTGTTTTTACTATTCCTGTTTATTAAAAAAAGAACTCTGGTACACACTTTGTAGGGAGTGGCACTGCCAACCCAAAGATCATGCCCTCTCTGGCATTTCAAAATCCTTCTAATCTAGTAACTCTAAGGGGAAAAGTCATGAAGTCTCCTCCATGCAATTTAAAGCTCAATGGATTCCCAGGTATGCATTGGTTCCTATACAACAACAATGAATTTAAGAGTTTATTCACAGGGATTAAAATGTTCTTGAAATTACCTTGGATAACCTAGCTGGGCACAGGCGATGTTTGCATAGAGACCTTTCCAGTCATCCGAGCACACAGTCTTCCAGGAAGCAGCTGTAAACACCTGGAGCACGGCGTTTTGACCACTCACCCGAACTGGCCAACATGCAGGAAGAAAAGTCCTCTTAGCAGCCAGTGAAGACCTGACACCTTGGACAGAGATTCTACATCCCATTTTGTCTCATGGTTTCGCACCAGTCTGCCTAGAGCAGTTATAGTTCTCCTTTTCCGAACCTCTGGAGACCTCTTGAGAAGGGTCTCTTACTGTTGCTTGTCTAGTCTCTCCAGATAAATTTCAACCCCATGAAACTGTCCTCTATACCCAGTTCAATGCCTCCTGGAGGAAATGCCAATTTGATGTCAGATAACATCAAGGCTTGACAATGGTTTAGACCCATTGCACAGATTGGAATGTAAGGGTCGAATTCTGTTGACTTCCTTCTACTTCTACAGGGAAGTACATTACCACATCGGTACTCATCCTCTCCATCTTTGCAGTCAGAAGTCCCATCACATCGAGCTGCCAGTTCAATACATTTAAAAGATGACCGGCACCTGTACTTCCCAGAACAGTCAAAGTGAACTGAGAAAAGGAAGAAGATGGAAGTGTTAAAGTCTTTCTCAGTGTTCAGCATTAATGACCAGCAAAGTCCTGAGAGTATCAATCTTCCACCTGCCACTGAGCACGAAGTTTACTCATTAGTAGAGAAACTCACTGAAATTGCATTCCAGTCCTCTGGCTAGCTCTCTGCCTCGCATCTGAATTCCAGGGAGCGGGGGCCTATGGGCATCACTGTGTCTCACTAAGTGGCGTGGTCTGGGAGCCACACACAAGGTGAATTTAGACTCTAGAAGGCTCAAGATCAAGAATGAATGTGTGGGTGTGTGGGTTGATCAGCAGAACAAAAAGCTTTGACTACTCAGTTACCCACTCGGCTCCTCTTTCTCTTATTCTGGGCAAGAAATGAGCAAACTTACAGACCCCACAGCTAAGCAAGTGGCGAATTAAACTGATCTGTGAACCAATTATTCAAAAGAGAAAATGAGAAATTGTTTCCAATTAGAGACCCTCCAAATGACCTACTTTCTCAAAACCCACATGCACCTTAAAAATAGTTGGCGTGTTTGGCATTGCATGAATGAACCGCTTTGTCCTCTTCATCCAGGAGTGTACACCCTGCCCCCATTCCTGCCCTCAGGATCTTATTACATCAGCTGCCTTTGGACATTTCTAACTCGGCAGGTTCCCTGGTGACAAAGGCCTAAGCATGGCCAACAGCCCCCCACTTGGCCTCAGGTTGACTTTAGTCACACGCAGGCAAATAAAACTCAAAGTTGGCAAACCAGAAGGAAGTCTGCCTCCAGTAATTAAGGCTGAGTGGTGCAAAAAGTTTGTGTTTGGGGAGAGCTCATCAAAGTTTAAGTGGTTGAGTAGGTATGTGGGCGCATACTAAATAAATAATTGTACTCACTGCCCAGACCAATGGCCAGTGCTAAGATCAGTGCGATTATCCCAATGACGATAATTGGAAAGAATTTCAGTGGCAGCAGAGACAGGATCTGGGCAGCAACTGCATCTGCATCTGCAAACCAGGAAGAGGGATAAAGAGATAAAAAAAAAATCATTCACGGATTTAAAAAGAAACACAGCACACCAAAGCCTTAAAATTTAGTTGTTCATTTCCTCTCTCTCTGCAGAGAAAGTCCCAGCCCAGAGTTTGCTTATTTAGAAAAATTACCACCTGTCATACAGAGTCTGGAGTCCCCCAGGAGGTGCAAATGCTTAACAAGTTTGGTTGATAATTAAGGATGGAGGGCTGTGGGGGTGGGGGTGGGGTGTCAAGTCTTCCAGGAGAAACTACAGAAGAAAGAGATTGCCTTGCAATCTGCTTCAGGAAATTCAATCACTAATCATATAAAACAAAATATGTATGAAAGATTGCATAAAAAACCCAATATTATTTGTAAGTTTTCACTCAAATGGAAAGAAATAATGTTTTACAAAAATTAAGCCATTAAAAACCCTATAGAGCAGAGTTCTACACTGATATACATGTTACTATGTATTCCTTTAATGTTCATAGGGTTTTCGAAGGCCCATTATTTAAGTAGATGGCCAATCCTGCTTCCTCGTCTGTTTTAATCAGGGAGTTCCACCAAAACCTGTCCTCCATGGGTAACCCTTATGGCATTTGACACATCAGTGGCACAGCTTTCAGTATCAAAGCACCCAGTTATCCCAGTATAACAAACTGACAGACAAGTGCTATACCACTTAGAACAATGTTCTCCTCAAACACAATTAACATCAATTAAATCAAAACAACCTACCTTCCATAATCCAACTGTTTCACAGAGGTGGCTCCAAACTAAAGACTGTTAAATAGGACCTATTGACTTTTAAATACAAAGGCCTTCCCACCAGGTCCTGATTGATGTAAACAAGAGGCTTTCAGCCCACAGCTGATTATTAACTCAATTAAAACAACCAATTAGCTTATACTTGATTGTTCATGGAATTAAAAAAAAAAAAGACCAAACAGTTAATACCTGACTTTCAATTAAATCAAAACAACCTACTTTCCAGAATCCAACTGCTTCACACAGGAGGCTCCAAACTGGAGACTGTTAGGCAAGTCCCAACTTAACATTTAAAGATAAAGGCCCACCCACCAGGTCCTGATTGATTTAAACAAGAGGCTTCCAGCCCACAGCTGATTGTTAACTAAAAAAATATGATGTTAGGAAGTGTGGAGGGCCGGGAAAGAAGAAGACCCTCAACCAGGTGGTTGCTGCAATGGGCTTTTATGTGTCATGAAGTGTGAGGATGGCATGGGATAGAATGGGGTTCAGATCTTATATTCATAGGGTTACTATAAGTCATACTTGACTCCACATCACCTACCAACAACAACTTGTACCATCAAGTAGGAACTGACTCATCCTATCCTCCAGAGGATTTTCAGGGGAAGTAAATCTCATGGGAAGAGATTGCTTATTTTTCTCCTGAGGAGCAGCTAGTGGATTTGAACCATGTGTCTTTGGGATGGCTGTGCAACTCCTTACCACTAAGCCACCAGAGCATCCTCTAATACACAACTCTGAGCATAAGTTAGAATTGACTCCATAGCAATTTAGGTTGGCACCATGGAAGGTATGAACTCTATATAAAAAAAAAAGTCCCACTCTCCCTTGAGTTTTATTTATTGGTGGGATGGGAAGGAAACCTAAGAATGTTTCCCTATAGAGGTGAATAAAATGAAATCTAAATAGGAGACAAAGAAGACACAGTTAAAGGCTGTCAGGAAACAGTTTTGCGCAGATGTTTGTGCTCACACCTTGCAGTTTTGCAAACTTGTATGGGTTTCCTCTGGACTATTTCTTCTACTAGAGCAAAGAACAAGTTTGTCTATTGTCTGGTTTAATAAGTCTCAGTGCCTTCTTCTTGGGTTCTATTTACTATACAGTTTCTATTTACTCATTGTTTTTGAGTCGGAAGCAACTCATATCTTCCCTCAGCAAATTTTCCAAAGCTGTAAATTACAGGGGAGGGGATTCTTTTTTCTTAATTGTGTTTTTGTTTATTTATAATTTTCCCCTTTATTGTTGTACATTCTCTTCCCTCTCTCCCCCTCCTCCAGCCCACCCAGCAATGCACCCCTTGCTCCAGATTGTTGTCATACATGTAATGCCTAATTATGTATTCCTTTCAGACAGTTCTTCCCCTCATTTATTCTACTGCAGTGTTTATTATATATCCACTCTTTCCCCATTCTCTGCCCACTCCACTCCCATCTGTCCTTTTTTCATTGTTGTTGTTGTTGTTTTGTGCCATCGAGTCGCCTGCGACTCATAGCGACCCTATGTACAACAGCCCTAAACTCCGCTCTGTCCTGTGCCAATCGCACTGTCTCTGACACTCCCATCCCAATTATCCCAGTCACTGAATCAATCCACCTCATAGAGGGCCTTCCTCTCCTGCACCGTCCCTCCACCCTCCCAAGCATGATGTCCCTCTCTAAGGACCGGTCTCTCCTCACAACATGTCCAAAGTAAGTTAGACGGAGCCTCAGAATCCTTGCCTCCAAGGAGCCACCCGGTTTAACCCTTTCCAGGACAAATCTATTTGTTTTCCTAGCAGTCCATGGTATTCTCAATACTCTTCTCCAGCACCACAGCTCAAAGCCATCAATTCTCCTTCTATCCTCCTTGGTCATTGTCCAACTCTCTGATGCATAACAGGTGATTGCGAAGACCATGGCCTGTATCAGACGCTTCTTAGTCTCCAGAGACACTATTGCTCTTCAGCACTTTGGAGAGGTCCCTAACAGCAGATTTTCCCATGGCAATGCGCGTTTTAATTTCCTGGCTGCTGGTGCCAAGACTGTTGACTGTGGAGCCAAGCAAACTAAAGCTGTGTACAATCTCAATCTCTTCACCATCCATCCTGATGCTGCCAATTGGTCCTGTGGTGAGAATCTTTGTTTTCTTGACATTGAGCCTCAATCCATATTGTAGGCTGCAGTCCTTGACACTCTGCAGCAGGTGCTTCAGGTCCTCCTCAGTTTCAGCAAGCAGGGTTGTGTCATCTGCATAACGCAGATTGTTGATAAATCGTCCACCAATCCTGACCCCACATTTCTCCTCATAGAGCCCAGCCTCCCAGATAATCTGTTCTGCACATAGGTTGAAAAGGTATGACTTTTTTCATTAAGAGAGAGAAAAACTGGCATATTCACACAATTGAATAATATGCAGCTTTGAAAAACAATGAACTCGTAAATCATTATACAACATGGGGAAGCCTGGAGGACATTATGCTGAGTGAAATATCTCAGTTACAAAAGTTCAAATACTGTATAACACTGCTGTTATATGGGAGAAGATTACACATCTTTCTCTGAAGGAGGAACTGGTAGATTTGAACCCACAGAAGGTGCAGCCAATGGGCCAGAAGTGTGAATTCCTATGTACCAGGCTACCAGAGTTCTCTTACAGACATATTTTACAGACTGCTGCAGAAGACTGGGGCTCCTTTAGCTCTGAATACTTCATTTATGGAACAAATCCCAGCTGACCTCTCCACACGCCTCCATGGTAGTAGGAGGTCACAGGGAACTGATGAGAACGTGAGGCTCATGAAGTCAGCTGTGCTGTGTATAGTAAGTCCTATGTCTCTGACTCAGGAGTTTTGTGTTTTCTTTCCACATTTATGAAATTGGGAAAGATTAAGTTCTTAGTGTACATATAAGATAAAACCCTCAGACCTTTCATAGTTCTTACCTAAAGGACCAGGATGTTGCTGTTAACATTAATTGACTCACAGGACTACCTGCATAAGAGAATCCCACTTCTGTCATCCATAGCAATATTATGGACTGATTTTCAGCAGTAGCTCTCCAGATCTTAATTCCTAGTCTGTTTCCACTAACATCTTTTTAGTATTATGGCAGCATTGGAGCCTCTGCTGGCACATGTCTGGTTTCTGTGCTTGAAGTGAGCTGGCTGGGAATAGAACACAGATGGCCCAACTGCCCTCCAAAGAACCAGACTCACTCGCACAAAAACAATTTATAAAGGGCACTGTTGCTATTGTTAGGTACCATAGAGTCAATTACAACTCACAGCGACCATGTGAACAACAGATCTGAACCTCGTCCTATCCTGCACCGTCCTCATGGTCTCTGCTACAGTCATTGTGTCAAGCCATCTTGTTGAAAATCTTCCTCTTTTGCTCTGCCCCTCCATCTTTGCCCAGATAATGTCTTTTTCCAAGGATTTGCCCCTCCTGACAACATGTCTAAAATAAATGAGAAGTACTTGAAGTTTCACCAGCTTTACCTCCAAGGAGCACTCTGGTTGTACTTCCTCCAAAGAGGATTAAAATATCCACAGTGTAAGCTTTGTTAACAGATTCAGTTTTGTTAGCTTTGTTTCCTAAAACAGAAGGAAATAAAAAGACAAATTGTATTGGGGAAAATCTGCTGTCAGGGACCACTCCAGAGTACTGAAGAATAATGATGTCAGTCTAGAGAATAAGGTGCATCTGATCCAGGCCATGGTCTTTACAATTACTTGCTATGCATCAGAGAGCTGGACAATGACCAAGTATGATGCCTTTAAGTTGTGGTGCTGGAGAAGAGTATTGACTAAGTATGGACTGCTAGGAGAACAAACAGGCTTGTCCTGGAGAGGATGAGATGAGGTTGTTCCTTGGAGACAAGGATTTTAAAGCTTTGTCTAACATAATTTGGGCATGTTGCAAGGAGGGACCAGTCCTTGGAGAAGGACATCATGCTTGGAAGGGTGAGGGACAGCACAGGAGAGGAAGACCCTTGATGAGATGGATTGATACAGTGACTGAGGTACTGGAGTTAGGTGTGGCAGACAATAAAGTTGGCTCAGGATAGAGCAGGGTTCAGAGCTGTTGTACATAGGGTTGCTATGAGTTGCAAGTGATTTGATGGCACAAAACAACATCAAGTACAAACTTCTTCAGGAAACCAGGAGAATTTTCATAGGCACATTTTACTCCCTAGGAACAGGAGACTCTTCATACATAGCATCTCTGAAAACCCATTTA